CCAGAATTACCCCTTTTTTGAAGACTTTCTCCCTCTCTTCAGATTTCTCCCCACACAAATGTGTTTACATTGCTGTCATCCCTTTGTTGTGACTCTAACACTGCTGCCTCTTATGTGGCTCACTCTCTTATGCCTATGCCAGCCCCTCATCTCCCCCTTCTGAGCTTAACCAACTTTACTTGGTCTCTGACACCGTCACTGTACTGAAACACACTTGCCAAGCAAATCGAGGCCTGGAAGCTTATACAGCAGTTGTCCGTTCTAAATCCCTTTACCCACCCATTCCTAATAGGTAAAGATCTCTGCCTTTGCCTAGGAGCATGAGCCAAAATCCTACACTGAACATGCCCTACTCCAATCTGTATATAGTTCCTGTTATCTCTACCAACATTTGTAACCTGACAGCTTTCTGTCCTGAGTTTCCACTGGTCATTGGTCACCAGCATCACTGTTTTTCTTCCTAACCTTTCTTCTCTGTCTCTAATCTGAATCACAACTGAAAATTCTCATATACCTGAGCAATACCCCTTGGCTATTTCACTAGATCTAGAGCTCACAAGCAACAAGAGTGTTGCTCTATCTCTTTCCTCTTCCCCAGCAAAAGGACTAGGTATCGAGTGAATGTTTATAAAAATTCTTGTCCTATTTGAGCATCCTGACCAAACCCTCTCTTACCTTGCTTTCTCTGAGTGCCCTCTCCTCCCTTTTTCCCTCTGCTCTCTCTACTCCTTTGGAGACTTTTTCTGTTAGATGCCAAAGGTGGACCAATGAGAACCTCTGCCCAGTTTTCACTGAATCCATTCCTCGCACTTCAACAGCCAACTTCCTTCTTCTGATACAAATTTCTGTTCCTGCCCCATACATCCAAATGATAAGCAGACATCTCACTGTTATCTCAATTAACATCAAGTCTACCTTGTCTACAAGGACAGTCCCTCCTCCAAACCAGCTCTCCTTGCTGCACTAAGGACTGCTACAATTGGAAGTGTCCCTGAGGGGTTTCTGTTCAAGCACAGGGCTCGAACCTCCTCTCCAGTCCCTGACTACATGCCATAGGTGGCACTACTGATCTAAGTGCTCTTTCTCTGCAAACCATATGGATGACTTTCCACAACACATTTCAGACAGGAAGGAATAGAGCAATCTGAACCACTTGGATATTTATCATTTATTATTATACATATGATAAAATCTCATTTTCAGAATTCTGTATGCATAACACAAATATGAGGACACAGCTGCTGCTTCTCAGGCTGACAAAGCTTTTCTGACAAGTGCTGCTCCTGTCATCCTGAGCAGCATCATGAGCAGACACAAGCTGTCAGTAGGGGTGCACTGAGGCCAGTCACCTGAGAAACAGAGTACTGAAGGCAGGGAATTTCCTGAAGACATCCTGGGACCTATTTTGACCTGCATGGAATCGGTCTTTGTGGCTTATGTGGTCTCATTATTGCTTTCCTTCCCACCCCACACCATGTGTACTGTTCAGGGTGTTGTGTGTGTGTGTGCTGAGGTGTGCGGGGGAGGCTCTTCATTTGCCTTTAACTGCAAGGGTATCGTGATAAGAGTAAAGACACCATTTAAAACATAATTGGCCCAAGTATATTTATTTGCTTTCCTTTGATAGGCTTTGTTATGGTTTGTGTTTAGATGTCCCCACAGTCTCCTGCTTTTCCAGAGGTGGCTGAATATAGAATGTGCAGTGCTAGGACTAAGGGTGCTGAGATTACTGGTGAGTGATTGTTGGATCACTCCACTGATTGGATTGGCGTTGCCCTAATCCCAGTAGACTGAATACAAAATAAAGGACAGAACAGGCTTTCCTCCAGGTATTTTTCTTGTTTCTTTCCTGTATTCCACTGCTATGAAGTGTTGCCCTTCTACCATGTGCCACCCTTCCTTGGAGCCTGCCCATTCTAGATGGATAACCATCACCCAAAGAAAGGAGAACTGAAGCCATGAATTTCCTAGGACACATCCTGCCACCTATTTTGACCTGCATGGAATCATCCTCTGTAGTTCACATGGTCTCATTATTGCTCTCCTTCCCACCCGACACCATGTGTAAATCTCACTGCAGTCTGTGAGCTAAATACATCTTTCCTGTTTTAACTTTGTATGTTTTGTGTTTTGTCTCAACAATGAGAGAAAGGCTTCACTTAATAAAGTGTCCTGATAATATCAAAAAAGTTATTATTGCACATTGAGCTGGAAACCATGCAGTGTTAAAAATAGTAGCAGTAAATTTATAAGTAGGTCTGAGTTCAGGATCATGCTCATAGTATTCCTCTGTAAGATTTTCTCTCTGTTTCTCCACCAGAAGTTTGGTATTGGCCTCTTCTAGCTACTCATTATCCTGGTTTAGCTTACTGGACAATGATTTTCTAGTTTTGATTTCTTCTGTATAGTGTTACTTATATTTTTCCAGTTGTATTTCATTGGAATTTTCTTGCATTTTCAGTTTAGAGAGCTCGGACTCCAGGGCTTTAATTCTGAGTTCCCACTGAGTTTTCATTCAAGCATTATTACTTTGTCTTACCTGCTCTAAATGTTCTTGAGGTGCTGCTTGTGTCTGTAAAAATAAATTGAGTTGTTTAATTTTTCTACTACATCTTGTCTTGCTCACCCACTCCCATGGATGAGGTCCCGGGTTCAGTTCCAAGCACTGGCATGCATGAGGTCCTAGGTTCAGCTCCAAGCACTGGATGGCTATTTTGAGAAGTTTTAGGTCTCTTTTCTTCATATGCAAAAATTTGCCTTCTTGGCTTATCCTTTGCGCTCTTCATTTGTTTCTTTTCTAACCGTTTTGCTACTTCCAGTCTCCTTTCCCTTACAGCAAGAAGAAGTGGTGTGAGGCTATCCTTGTTTTTGTCTCAGCATTTGCACTGTGAAAGCAGTTTTCCCGCCATCGATGTGTTTTCACTAGATCACATAATGAAAAGCAGTGTTGTCCCTGGCATTGGCAACATTTGGATTTGCACCATGTTCCAAGAGAGCAGTCTCACATTTCTCCTGGTTGCATTGCACAGCCTTAAGCAGTGCAGTATTATTGTCACTGTCACTGGCATCAATATCACACTTCCTCTCTACCAGGAGTCACCACTCGTGGATGGCCATAGGCACAGGCAAAATGCACAGCAGTCCTGAGCTTTTCGTCTCTGTCATTCAGGCCACTTTTCCCAAGAAGGAGATGCTGCACTCTGGCCACATAGCCCTCTCTCCCAGCCTTGTGGAGCTAGTGCATAGACCTGTTGAAGACGCCGCACTGCACACCTCTGGATCTCCATCGTGGGTACACGGGGCTCAAGGGCACCTCACCCTTACTGCTCAATCTATTTTATTTTTAAAAGTAAATTATTTGTGAAGATGAATTCTATAACGTTAAAACCAAAAATTTAGTTTTACCTTCTCTTTAACCTAAAAAATGACAGACTCTGCTTTTACCAAAGAAAATCATAGAACACACTGGAACAGGGGAGAGACTCAGCTGATAAAACAAGTTAACTTACTGCATGTCTCAGCCTCTACACAGACTTTCCTGATTCAGTAAACACTTCTTTATAATTGCCTAGGCATTGCCCGCTTCCTCAACTCTAATTCCTGGAAGCACCTTGAACCACCCTCCGGGTAATCTATTGTGTCGTCCTTTCATTTGCCCAATCAAGTTTGTTCCCATTTAAAGAGACAGCAAAAGAGAGAATTATCCTTCTGCCTAGAAGCATCATCCCACTCATACTGCTCTCAGGTTTAGGGCTGATCAAACAACACTTAAGGGAAGATAGGGATCTTCCATTGCCCAAGTAAAAGTGGCTCCCATTCCAATCATTACCCAATTTCACTTTCTCCTCTCACCTCAATACCCAAATTTCTTGTATGGCAGTAGTGTCTACCCCATTTGTTCTAGTATGTAAGGATCAGCAATAGGATTGGGGCTGTCTCTCTAGCACTGTTCACCCTGTATCTTGAACGTTCTCTGGCTCTTCAATAAACATTTGTTTCAGTGTACTCAAAACTAACTTATCTTCTCCAGGTTTTCCCATTTCCTCTAAGATTTCTTCTAATAAACAAGATCAACAAAACTAAAACAACAGACTCTTTGCTCACAAAGTCATGTTCAGTATCTCAGGTTTATGCTGCTTATCATTCTCCTACCCTTGCCTGCCCTTTTGCCAGTGTCTCCGAATATTCCATTGTCCACAACCCTCTCCCCTTCCACTACAATCCCAGAACAAGCCCATTGGCTTCACTAGTAAATTTAGGACATTTGTTACTTTGCTTTTATTTCCTTTCAATTAAAATGAATGTGCACACATGGCACAGAGTGGTGACTGCTGTCTCTGAGTTCTACAAAATTTAAGTGGAACTAAGTAAAATATGAGAAAGCTCTAAGACACAAGTCTAGATTATGGATGAAATATCCAATGCATTCTGGAAGGCTTTTTCCTGTATTTGGCATATATGCCACTTTCAGGTCAGTCTGAGCTAGCAGTTAGCCAAAAGCAGACTCAATCAATTCCTAACTTTGTACCTTAATCTACAATAGAAAGAATGTACACAGATTTCCTTTGCATTCAGAAGGGTCTGATGAGATGCTCAACACATGAGAACATGTAAAGCATAAAGAATTATATAAAAGTCTTATTTATGCTTTTCTTCTCTTATTAGTACATGTTTGCAATACATTACCCATCTAATTTTCTTTCTTTGTAAAATAAGAGTGTTACTGTATGCCATCATGCTCAGTGTAAGTTTTCATAGGTACTTACGTGGTTTTCATTGGAAGATATAATTCATATATTTATTCCTTCTTTACTGATTTGCAATGTTCTGAAAAGTCAGCATCCACACTTTCTACTGCCAGGAGCTACGCAGCCTTATCGGACATTAGACTGCATGAAGCGGAGCTCCTCCACACTGTGGTTCAGTGCTTCATCCCACCTGACTTCTCTGTTGTAGCCTCTAATGATCCACACTCTGGATCAGCCTCATCACCAGTTCTCGGTATTGCCCTAACTGTTTAATCCTCCATCGGTGATTTAGTGATTGTCACTGGATGTGACACTCCTCTACTGTATGAGACCTCTTTTTATTTATGTTCCTTAGGAACACTCTACTCAGTTTCATAGATATTAAACAACATTTCCAGGTCACAAGTTACTCCTTTTTTTCATTACATATGGCTGGGTTAAATACTTTAATACTCTGGGGAGGGTGAAGTGAGAAAACAAGGTGGTATCTAAGAAAGCACATACGAGTCATCCCATAAAGTCTACTTCTACAGGTGATATATCTGGAATTTAGTTATTTTGATCTCTTTTTTAAAGAGAGCTTCCCCTAGCTATAATCTATCCAGCATGTCTATCAGGCCTCCTTTGTCTAAGAAAGAAACTAAGAGGCGAGGTACTCTTCATTAAAATGAAGAATGAACCTCAAGACTTTTCCTGTGTAGTATTGAAATAGATTCTGCTAAGTGGGACTCATACATCTTTCTGATACAACGATTTCCACTTCACAGGACAGTGTTACCATTAAGCAGAGCTCTCTGGGAAAAGCAGTTGAGAGGATTCCAAGTTGAAGCCCAGCCTGGGAGGCTCTGTGATATAGAGACCCTGTTTCAAAATACATTTTTTACTAAAGGGAAAGGAACAGAGCTAGGTGCAAAGGCCTTGCATTCAATTCCCAGCACTTTAAAAAGAAAAAGTACAGCCTTCTTTCAGCACAGTCTTCTTTCAACTTGTAACTTACAATTGTTTTGCCTACACTGATCACTTTCCAAAATTCTAGGAATAAAATTCAGAGTTCCTTTCTTCCTTCCAGCAGGTTCCTTTCACTTTAACTTTCTTTGCAATTGTGCAATGTCCTGTTGGCAAGTGGAGAGGAAAGAAGGAGAAGGGATGGCAGCAAACATCCCAGAGATGGCAGGGTCTAGTACATTACCTCATAAGACTTTACTTTCCTAATTAGACCCTAATGCCTGTTTTCTCTGCAAACCTTGGGCCAACATCCCATCATCTCATGATCAGCCTCAGCTGTCCTTTGGCACAGGCAAAAAAAACTATGGAAATATATTTTTTTGAACTGGCAAATGTGATGTAACCAGAACTCCATTGGCAAAAACTTGGTTGGAAAAAATCTTTTCTGTTCATTGCATACCTTGCACAGTTAAAGTCTCCCTCCCACAATTTTCTTTCTGCACTCAAATTAGAGTTGGAAGGAATACAATACCTTCTCTAGGTGTAATGTCAGAAATACCATATAAACCCCTATGGCAAACTCTACTTGAATTTGCATAAGAAATTCTCAAAAGTTTGGCTCTGAACTGGTAGAGTATCCCTACCTTGACTGGTGTGAGCAAAGGAAGAATCAGATCTTACTGTCGCCTTCACTTAGGTACCAGTCTAGGTAAGGACAACTCAGATGAATGAGCTTATGGTGGCCTATTTGAATTTTGAGAAAAGGAATTAAATATACCAAAAACTTCCAATAAATTTCCACACGACCAGGTACAGAGCTTTTAATATGAAGGGTCCCAAATGGAATTGGGGAATTGAAAGGGCCAAGAATTGAGAGGTAGGGTAGCGAGGGAAATGCACTGGCATGAGACAGAGAAAGAATAAGTGTGGGAAAATAAGGCACAGTCAGCCTGAAATCCCTGCCACAAGTGCCCAGGCTGAAGAAAGCCAATCCTGGAGAGAAGGCACCCAGATCCACCCAGAGCTCTGGGGTTTGAAGGGTGAGGGCATCGCATGGGAGTGTCCGCACCTCCTTAACCTCCCTACCTTGGGGCATCTCCCAATCACTAATATGATTCAGGGGCTCACTATACCATGTTCCCATGAAAAACTCCTCCTTGGTCTCTGGAGGAGCAAGTAGTTGTGCCACTGACACATAGATCTCACATCCTTCTGGCTCAACTTTCCCCTTGCACTTGTGCTTCTGCTTGCCACCTTTGTGGCTGGCATTTGGAGACACACAACAGCTGAGGGAGTTTCCCATATGGCACCACAGCACCTTTGCTCAGCCCCCATTGACCAGCTCTGCTCAAGGTATATGCACGCTCACCTGCTGTTCCTTCGCTGACCCCTTGCCCAGCAGGCTGGCCCCACCCTGGGCCACTTTTCTCTGAGACCCCCAAACTGATTAGTCTTCTGCTATGCAGTAGGGTTAGAGATCCCACAAGTGCTGAGAAGCAAAGCCACTGTCAGAGATCTGATCAGACCACTTCCTCCTTCAGCCAAATTCTACCAACTGAAATCACTAGGCCAGCACTTGCCAATTGGAATGCATCCTATGGTAACCTGGTAACCAGGAGCCAATCAAGAGCAGAGTTCCACCCACATGTCAGCCCTACTGTCACCCAGGTACTTGATTCAAAATACCCGGGCCCACCTGGGGCTGTCCAACGCCACCGCCGACACACAGTTCTAGGATGCCTGTTTCCATTCTTCAGGTGCTGCCTGCAGCTTCTCTGGTTTTTGCAATTTTACAGTTGCTCTGTGCCAGCAGACAATCAGAAAACATCAGTTAATAAGGGGCTTTTTCCATGGGCAACTCAGTTTCCTGAGTCATACAGCTTTCATTTTCTCACACAAGGGAGTTGTATCCAAATTGTTGATTGTTTTTGTAACTAAGTGTTCCTGTTTTCTCTTTCAAGGAACTATTCATTTTCTCCTGCATGTTGGAGCTCTGTCACATTCTCAGTAAATATTTCTGGCTGTGTATCTTGAATGAGATTCAGGACACTTCATATCCTCACTTAAAATAGGGAAGGAACTGTCTCCCCATCTCTATCCAAGTCTTATTTCTCCCCTCAGTCTGTCCCTTCCACAACCACAGTTTCGTTTCTCCTAAAAAATTGAAATATCATAAAATGAGGCTCCAAGATAAGGGTGATAGAGAACAGTTACCATTTCAAAGTATTATGTGCATGGTGATGTTCTTTCGGAGGGACTCATGTAAGCCTGAAATGCAACTCTATCTGACATTTCACAGATTTGACAGAAAATTGAAACACAGTGTTACTTTTGCAAGGTAAAATGACTGTCCAGGTGAGGCTAGAAGAGTGTGGATCCTGAGGAGTATGGGTCAACACAAGCACATTAACCTGATTCTGTGAAAATGGAGTAGAAGTCAAACTTGAGGAAGTGACAGTGAATAATACATTTTGTTCTAAGTAAACAATTTCTTTCATGTGGATTTTATTATTTATTTCTTTATTTATGGCTAGTTGGACTTGAACTCTAGTCCTTGTGCTTGTCAGGCAGGTGTTGTGCTGATGAGCTATATCTGTGGCCCCCATGTGGATTTTAAATGTGCTCTCTTCATCAATACTAGGTCCCTTCTATATACCAGGCACTGTCTGTATGAAATGGTCATAACCCTCAGTAAATCTGCAGAAGAAAAAGCAAAGCCTTAAAGAAGGCATCTCTCTGGGTAACATAGCAGGGCTGTGCTGGAACATAGACAGAAACCCAGATCAATCTGACTGCAGTGTAAATGATGTAGGAAGAGGTTAAATTTTAACCAAGAAACATCAGGGTATGGTTTAGATATAATATGACCTCTGAAGCCCCGTGTATTTGGAAGTTGACTGTGTTCTGGAGGTGTTACAGCTGACCTGCTGTTAGAAGGGGAGGACTGGCCAAAAGAGGAGGAGGATTACGGGCATTTCCTGGAAGTTTATCTTCATGCTTGGCTTCTCCCTTCACATTCTCCTTCCTAGAGACTGTGAGGAACTTTCTCCCTGCAGGCCATTCCAACACATATTGCTACCTTGGAGCTAGCAAAATCTGAACAAAAATTGTGAGCTAAAATAAACCTCTTTTAAATTGAGGGTTTCAAGTAAAAAAAAAAAATGACTAAGGCACCAAACTTCAGTGAATTAGCTGAAGTCACTAACATAAGGTCATTCTGGACCATGATGGACTAGGGGTAACAACAGGACCAATTAACAGATGGTTCACTGCAGAGAGGACAAATATGTGATAGTCAGGTCTGGTTACACAGCCACTCTGGTGGCTGAAGCAGGAACATCATATGTTCAAGGTCATCTTGGAGAACTTCCTGTCTTATAATTAAAAAAAATATACATGCAGTAGCCTGGGGATGGAGCTTCATTGTACAGTACTTGCCTACCATTCTTGAAGCCCTGGTGCAATTTCTAGGACTGGCAAAAAAGGAAGCCATCATTTATAGAGAAGTCTACACTTCAAGGAAGCTCCATATTCCTAATGGGTGCCACAGTTTGTGAGGGGTCTAGTGATGCATCTGGTCCTAGGATCCTCTCTGAGTAACAAAAACAAGGATACTCAAGAGCCTTAAATGAATGGGCATGTCATTTGCACACCGATCTGTATATAGACTCCCATGTATTATATATCTTCTCTGAATTACTTAAAATGTAAAGCACAATGTTAATACTATGCTAAATAACACTATACTATGGGGTTTATTGAATAAAGAAAAGCAGAAATATCTGAATATATTCAGTACATATCAACTTTTAACAATATACTTTCAATCCATGATCGATTGTATGTGCAGGTCCAGAACTCATAGATAAATGCACAGTGGTAATGTCTCCATCAAATATGAGTAAATTAAAGAGAAATTTGAGCAAAAGCCAGTAAGTGAAGCAGAACTGTCCTGTCACAAATGTAGAAGATGGGCCTAATGTCCCCATCTAGTTGAAAAAAAGGTAATAAATTGTAGGGAAGAGTAAAAAGACATCAAGAAGAAACTGATATGTAATTGGATACAGTTAGAACATGTACAAAAACTGTAACCACATGACTGGACTCAAGAAAAATGCCAGAGAATGTTACTCTTCCCAGAAAGGAAAGGTCACTTTAAAAGCAGGCAAAGAGAAACACTACTGTTGAAAAGATTTAAATAAGACTATGGGGACTAAAGACTGATGGATGAGAATTTGAGTTGCCACGGATAAATGGAAGTGTGTTGGGAGCCATTGGAGCTGGAAATTGGTCATACGTGGGAGGACAGGACAGAGGCAGAGTGCCTCAAGCTGTCAAGCTACCTCAGTCTTCATAAAAACATTCCTGCCTGGACAGTTACAGTTGTTAGTTACTAGGCAACATTACCTCTGGTGGTACTGACTTTGAGAGGGAATAAATAAGGGCCCCTACTATTGTAGTTCAGTCCCCTTATGTATCAAGTAAGAGGTCACTCCACCTGACCCCAGCTATTGTCTCTTGTATTTATTCTCTAAATCCTTTCTTGGTTTTCTCCTGGGCACCACCAAGAGACCACTGATTCCTACATTTGCTGCCTGACCAGGGACCCATGGTGAGCAGCTTTGATGGGAAGAGGATGCTGCCCAAAGTTGTTGTGTGCATCAGGGTCACAAAAATTTATTGTTTGGTCAATAGTTAGCACTGGAGAGGGTTATTGAGAATTATCAGCTGTTAAGGGCAGGACATGGGGGTCTACTGACCAAAACAATGTAGTTGTAAATAATAGGCTTAAGAGAAGACAAAAAGGAGAAAAGTAAATTGGTAGTAGTTAAAAATGAAACAAACAGTATCAAAAGCCACAGACATTTATAAATATGTAAAAATGTTGTTTTCATGGTTCCTGTATTTACCTTTCATTTGTGGATTGTTAAAATGTGTTTTACAATTCTAAAAGTTTCAGCTAAGAGCTGTACTTTAAAGACAAGTCTCGAGCCAAAGCAGGACAAGAAGAGTGGAATAATGTGGCTGATAGAGCTAAAACCCTGTAGCTTTGCTCAATTAGATGAGAAGGGGAAAATTTATTTTATATTTGGTGCATGTGAATCCAAGTAGTGCAGATGCAGTGCAGGGGGGGAGTGACAAAAACTGAGTTCAGCCAGAGCCCCATGGTCTGGATCTAGGCAAATCCAGCTGGTATTTCACAGCCACCTGTGTGTCCCACTCCTGGTCCAGCCATGGTGCTTGGCATGCACCATCAATCACTGGCATGTGTGCTATTCACACCCAAAATTCATCAGGCTCAAAACAGTGCCTGCACATGAAATCCATAGAAAAATGGGACAGCCCAAGTATAGAGTGGACGCCCAGAGCATGAGCAACAGCTGGTGCACGAAGAAAAACGTAGGTGCCGCCTCTGTGCAGCCCACCTGCCAGCATCTCTTGGGGAGGGAAATTGTGGTTGAGAGAGGCCATTCCTGTTACTAAGACAATGGAGCCATCGTTATCCCCTTGCCATACTCCAAGCCAATGACATGGAGGCTACAGCCAGAGTCAGGAACAAAACTTAGTTCAAATCACCCTGTACTCTCCTATTGCTCAATTTATCCTTTCTTTGACAAAAATTTTAAAAATTATACCTATGTGTGGAGGTGTACACTATAATCCCAGCACTTGGGATTACAGGCAGGAGAATCCTTGCAAATTTGAAAGCAGCCTGGGCTACAAGGTGAGCTCAAGGCCAGCCAGAGCTGCACAGCAAAACCTTTTCTGAAAAACACCTAAATAAATAAATGTTTTAAGCAGGGGGATCCAAGAATTTGGATCTTTTGACACCTATTCAGTGTAAAGCTGGAACTCATTATTTAAAAGAAAAAAACATTTTAAATGGCTCCTAAACACAAGTGTGGATGGTGTCTGGTTGTGGCAATTACAGGTACAGAGGGTGTGACTGGTATTTCCTCCCTTAATGGAGGTGCAAAGTTGTTGACCTGGAGGAATGCAGTGGGCCCTTCAGCAAGGAATAAAGCCTCACAGGAAATATAGGGAGATTTTAAAGAGAAGGCTTTTACATTTTCCTGTTAACATGATTAATTAAAAGGCTGTTTCCTCCCCAAGATAAAATACATTTTATCTTTAGTTAAAAGATCATATTTTCTAATATGTACAATAAGGGAGCTATTTTTAAAAGATTACTTAAAAATAATTCCCATAAAAGGAAAATTTGCCCCTTTTCTCAAAAAATGTATATTTCAGTGATGGCTTTGGTCTTTTACAGTAATAGTCAAAAATTTCCTCATTTTAGAT